GGAAGCCAAAATCCCCATAAAATCTTGACTGAGCATGCATACTTTGTCGAGCTTGTGATACTTCAGTTGCGCCATTTTAAAGATTCCCAATGTTTTTCTCCTTTAGTTGTAGTTTATATTTTACGTTTTCTACATTTTAACAAATAATGTTGCCCGAGACCCAGAAGGAAAAGCACACAGAGCAAAAACTGCGTGGAGAGTGACGACAAGGCGGAACTTCTACTGATGACGACACTGGAATATGAGGGACCGACCATTATAAAAAAGCGGGCTCCTTGGGATGAAGTGAGAAGGGGGGCGGAGAATTTTAGTTGTGTCGCAACAAAAATTTACTTGATCCCTTCCTAGAGCTTTGCAGTATTCTAAAGATCCCGTCTTATTTGCAGTCACTTTTCTATATAAGCTGTTCTTATTTTCCCTTTCCTGCAGGAGGGGAAGGACAAAGCGGGTCATCGCAGGCAAGCAAGATAAGCCTTGTCCGTTCTGGCAGCAAAACAGAACTACTAACTGATATACCAATCCCTCTGACGAAGGGCTAACGCTCGAAACGTCAGCTTTTTACCCTTTAACAGTTTCTTTAGAAACCTACCACCTTTACCACTTGATACTGTTAATTTCCTCGGCTGACAGATGATTACTGTCAAACCGAATGCACAGCTGCTGCCACCTTCCGGCTGTTCAATGACGTCACAACAGGGATATATGTCAAGCTCTTTGAGTGTTTCTTGGCAAACAAATGACACGCGGGCTGACTAACTGGCTCACCAACTGACGGGCTGCTTGTGTGACAGGCTAAAAGGCCGGCTGATTGAACAAGTGAATGACCGACTGATGACTGACTGAATGACTGATAGGCTTACTGACTGACCGACTGACTGACTGAATGATTGACTGACCGACTGACTGACCGATTGGCAGACTGACTGACTGACTGATTGACTGACTCAATGACTGACTGACTGAATGGACTTACGGAATGACTAACTGGTAGGCGGCTTAACTGACTTTAGTGAGTCACTGACTGTACTGGTTCGACGGAGCCACTGGCGTAATACCTTTTTGTTTGATTTACTCAATGACTAGCCTCTCAATAATGATTAATTTATTGGTTGATTGACCTGACTGGCGTACAAGGTGACTGACTTGTTGACGGCCTGACTGAAAACTCTCTAACGAACAATGATCGAGCGGATCAACGGATTGACCAATGACCACCCGACTCATCAGAAGTTATATACTTAATTGTTCTTGTCTTCCTTCTGCAGTCGGACATGTTGGCCCTCTAGTTCCTTGCAACATTATTAAGCTTGTCGTTGTGAAAGATAAATAATACTAGGCTAAAAATGCATAGTCAGGGAGAGGTAAGATGGACTGACATAGCAATACCTGACTTTTTTTAAGATCAACTCATTTGAGAAAAAAAACTGTTTATTACAACAAAATCTATTTGTATCGACCTCAAAAAAACTGAAATATTATCATTTGGATTTTGCTCCTTCAGATTTATCTAAAAGGTCCCAACGTCTCTAAAGGCTACGTTCACGACCCTAAAAAAACCGCTCAAACTATCGACGAAGATGACTGGCTCCATATTGGTGACATTGGTTTATTTATTGGCGGTCTATTTCTGTTAAAATTGTTCAAACAACATTGACAACAGAACGCATGATATCTGGGTCTGAGTTTAATTCATGTAAAATTGGATGGGTGTTTTTTTTTTTGCTTTCTATCAAACTGTGTTTTTTCGTTGTCGTATTATTTCACAAAATTGAAAAATCACCTACTCAAAGTGTCGCATCTCAACCTACGCATCCAAAAAACTTAACTCTTGTATACCTTGCATGACTATGTTTATTGTTTTTCTTTTTGACATCAGTACATCTTGTGCAGTGTTTCTTCTCTTCTTCTGATTGACTTTAACTTCAATGATTCACGCAATAAATGTTCCTTTTCTTTCCAATCTGACTTTTCCATCAGTGTCGAGTCTACTGCTTTCTCTCTTTACTTTTGTTTGTTGCAAATGTATTACGCACTGTTTTGTCTTTTATCTGTTTGGTTGCTTGTTTGTATCTTGTACATAGTTCGTTCTCTTCTCTGATTAAATTTTGCATTAGAATCTTCTAAAACACTTTTTCTCCTCTATCTTAATTTCCAAGTCAATATCTACTTCGCTGTTTTTTCAATTTGTATATGTTTCTTACTGATTGCCACGTTAATTTCCTACCAAGTGTTTGCACTCTTCTGTTTGACTGTAGCGTTAGTATCTTACGCAATATTTCAGGCTAATTTTACCTTAACAATTTGGATATCGTTTCTTTTCTCCTCTCTGTTCCCTTCTCCGTTTATCTTTTAGATTATGATATAGTAACGCCTACTTTTCTCTTCCGTTTGTTTGTTATGTAATTATCCCCTACACCTGCGACCGATTTTCATCACTCTTTGATGATCACATTTGCATGCTACGAGAGAATTGAAAACCAGATCATGGTGATGTAAACCAAAGATAAATTTTGAGTTTTGACGCAACTTTACCAAAATTCTATCATTTTTAAATTCAGCTTATTTCCTGCGTTCATCCCAATGTTAATTTTAGTTCCCTAATGACACAATTAATAGATCTAACGGTTGAATTGCAAGTTTTTTTGTCGCACACTTTCGATTCAGCCTTGTTTAAAAAAGCATATCAAAACGACTTCATGACTTTTAAACAAATTAAAAATGTCTGTATAATGAAATACCGGTGTCCATTTAAAAACGATAAATGTCAGATAAAAGGAAGAGGAATCTTTGTGTAGGATCAGTCGTCACTCTGCTCCAATCTTTGCTTCATTTTTGTCCTCCTTGGGTTCTTCTTTCCTAAAAACAAACATTTTACATTTGTCACTATTTAACTGAAAAGCAAACGGATCAAGTTCATTTGAAAGTTTGAAAGAAATTACTTTTTCTTCAGTGTCATATAATTTTCGAACTTTTCCAAATTATTGTCGAATATACCATGACTGATGCGAAAGTGACTTCAAAATTATGCTTTAATTGGTTATTGTTGTTGATTTTTTTTTTTTTTTTTTTAAAGTTAACTTTTTTAAAGTCAGCGTTTCTCAGAATATTCTAATCGTTATAGCGTCTAGCATCGTATCAACCTCCAGCAGTTATTTCTGAATATCTTCCATGCCGTTCCTTTTCAAGGCCAATTGAGGAAGCAATTCATCAAATTCTTCTGGCTCTGAGCCTGAATATAATCGTCTTCTTTTTCTTGACATTTTAGAGATGAAAGACGAAGACAAAAACAAACAAACAAACAAACAAACAGAAACTGACTGTAATGAGTTGAACTGAGAAAGTTAAGTGCGCTAATCGGTTATTATAGAAAATTGCTCATTAAAATCAGACTTACCCTTTTTTCGTAAAATCAAATGTCACGTTATCCCCCATAAGCACAAATGGAGCCCATTGGGAAGGTTTAGGGAAACCATTGCTTCTCAACCATTGAACGGCCTGGTGAAGAGACTCACTGGCACTTTCTCCACGCACAAGGTGTTTGTAGAAATGATTCATGAGCTGCTCCGTTGCTTCGTCTTCTATAGCCCACGATGCTACCAACACTGAACGTGCACCGGATGCTAAAAATGCACGAGCGATTCCTAGGACTCCTTCCTTTTTAACCAATCCACGCCCACTGTGACAACAGCTGAGTACTACCAGTTTAGCTCGCACTTGAACTCCTTGAATTTCGGACATAGTAAGGAGGTAGTCTTCCTCATCAGGAGTATTGTTAGTGGTACGTTGAGGAGAGAGGGCAATCTCTCCTCTTTCGGCATTTCCATGTGCGGCAAGATGTATCAGACTTACTGAAGGTATCGCTTGAAGTACTGCCTGCTTTGTTGCGCGACTTCCTAACAAAGGCTGAACCTCCAGCAGTCGACCAACCATCTCTGCTTCCTTTCTTGCACAGAACAATGGTGTAATGTCAGTGAGACGTCCACTGTAATGCACCTCGCCAACCGTAGGATCACCAACAACCAGCGCATCAGTTAGACTGTGATAGTCCGCTGGACATTCTTGAATTATTCGGAGAGTCGTCAGAGAGGGGACGATACGTATTCTGTACTTCTCCGATAAATACTCTCCGGCAGATTCATCTCGCAAGGCAGCAAATGGGACTCGGAACGAAAAACGATCCGGCACAATGATGATTTCAGGCTCTGTAAGTAAGTCTGCCACGGGTGCGACTATCCATTTGTAGCACAATTTATGAATTCTTTCGGTATCTTTGGTTTGTTCACCTCGCAAATTTGCTCGGCTCTCTTTATGAAGAGATGTCGTCACGTTGTCATCCAAAGATCGATCTTCGCAGTTCGCTGTGGGTAAAACGCCAAAGCCGGCGGCACTCTTTTTGAAAATTCCTTCCACATCGCAAACTTGCTCGTCAATAAGAGTGTCTACGTCCACTTCGTCTGTTACTCGAAAGCAAGTGTCTCCATTTGCTTTCAATACCCAGAGAAGAACTTGCCGCTCTCTGTACGCAATATACAAGAAAACAGAGTTACTTTCTCTCCTCACGATGTTTTCAATCCCGAACCATGATTGTGGATCGGCTGAGGTATGGCTTTCCACGGAGTACTTGTCTGCCACTAATTCTGCGAGGACTCTTGCTCGTCCCAATTCCTCAACAAAGACAGCATCTCCAAATTTTTCAATATCGCAAAGCAAGTCAGTGAGTAAACGGTAGGGAATAGTACCGTGTTCCTCTAACAGAAACATTTTAAATTCACTGTTTCCTTTCATAAAAGTTCGGATTTGCTCGTATTTTGCAATACATCGAAGAAGATATTCCTTTGCTTCCACAAACTCTGACTGCGATATCTTTAACAGTGTAAATCTGAGAAGGCTTTGAAACTCAAGCATCTTGTCTCCAATTTGGCTGCTTATGGAATAAGCTTTCTCTAAACAATCTTCTACTTTGCTATATTCACCGAGCGATTGGTTTATACTGCCAAGGGTTATGTAAATGTTCGCTTCGACATTTCTAAGGCCACATTCTCTGCTGATGGTAAGTGCCTTCTCACAATGTTCTTTTGCTTTCTGAATGTCATTCACAGAAGCAAAAACAGCTGCCAAACCTGCTGTAGCGTGGGCTTCTAGTCCTCTCTCGCCACTTGCTATACTGACGCCAACTGCCTTGTCCAAATATTCTTTAGCTTGTCGATTTTTTCGAAGTTGAAAATAATAATTTCCAAGATTCACATATTCTTCTCCTTTTCTCTCGCCGACTTCTGTCTTGATAGCAAGTGCTTTCTCGTAGTGTTCTTTAGCCTTCTGATATTCGCCAAGGATAAAAAATACATTTCCGAAGTTCCCGTTAGTTGTTGCTTCTACTCCTTTGTCGCCTATTTCTATCGCAATGGCGAGTGCTTTCTCGTGATGTTCTTTAGCCTTCTGAAATTCCCCAAGGGAATTGAACACATTTCCGAGGTTCCCATGACTTGCTACTTCTCGGTGTTTGTTGCCAATTTCTATCGCGATGGCGACTGCTTTCTCGTAATATTCTTTAGCCTTCTGATATTCGCTAAGGGAATAAAACACATTTCCGAGGTTCCTGTTACTTGTTACTTCTCCTTCTTTGCAGCCAATTTCTATCGCGATGGCAAGTGCCTCCTCGTGACATTCTTTAGCCTTCTGATATTCCCCAAGGGAATGGAACACAATACCGAGATTCCCATTACTTGTTACTTCCCGGTGTTTGTTGCCAATTTCTATCGCGATGGCAAGTGCTTTCTCGTGATATTCTTTAGCCTTCTGATATTTGCCAAGGGAACAAAATCCATTTCCGAGGTTTCCAATACTTGTTGCTTCTCCTTGTCTGTCGCCAATTTCTATCGCGATGGCAAGTGCTTTCTCGTGATATTTTTTAGCCTTCTGAAATTCGCCAAGGGAATCGAACACATTTCCGAGGTTCCCGTTACTTACTCCTTCTCCTTGTTTGTCGCCTATTTCCATCGCAATGACAAGTGCTTTCTCGTAATATTCTTCAGCCTTCTGATATTCGCCGAGGGAATCGAACACATTTCCGAGGTTCCCGTTACTTACTCCTTCTCCTTGTTTGTCGCCAATTTCCATCACAATGACAAGTGCTTTCTCGTAATATTCTTTAGCCTTCTGATATTCGCCGAGGGTAATAAGCACATTTCCGAGGTCCCCGCTAAATTTTCCTTCTCCTCGTCTGTCGCCAATTGTTATCGCAATGGCAAGTGCTCTCTCGTGACATTCTTTAGCCTTCTGATATTTGCCAAGGGAATAAAACACGTTTCCAAGGTTCCCATAAATTGTTCCTTCTCCTTGTCTGTCGCCAATTTCTATAGCAATGGCAAGTGCTTTCTCGTGACATTCTTTAGCCTTCTGATATTTGCCAAGGGAGTAAAACACATTTCCAAGGTTCCCGTTAATTGTTCCTTCTCCATGTCTGTAGCCAATTTCTATTACGATGGCAAGTGCTCTCTCGTGACATTCTTTAGCCTTCTGGTGTTTGCCAAGGCAATGAAACACATTTCCAAGGTTCTCAATACTTGTTGCTTCTCCTTGTCTGTCGCCAATTTCTATCCCAATGGCAAGTGCTTTCTCGTGACATTCTTTAGCCTTCTGATATTCGCCAAGGAAATAAAATACATTTCCGAGGTTCCCGTTACTTGCTCCTTGTCTTTGCCTGTCGCCAATTTCTATCGCGATGGTGAGTGCTTTCTCGAGGTGTTTTTTTGCCTTCTGAATTTCACTCAAGCTCTTACATACATTTCCCAGTCTTTCATGAGCCATTACTTCGTCTCCTTTGTGACCAATCGTTTGCATGATGATGAGTGCGCTATTGAAAAGTTGCTTTGCCTCTACAAACCGGCTCTGTGCTTGATATTTGTCTCCCAGTTGAATGGTTAGTCTTCCAGCGTGGTGCAACGTGTAAAGAAGTTTTTTGGTATATCTTTCCACACTTGTGTTACCTGAGATGGCATAGTATACATTGGATATTACATCGGAGATATCAAGGTGACTACCACAGTCAAGGTTTTGAAGTAGAATTGCACATTCATTACATAACTCAGTCGCTTGTGGGCCACGATCAGTGTTGAGAAGAAATATGACGACATTTAAACCTATCTGGACTGATTGTAGGATTTCTACAGCGTCACTCATTGCGAGTTTTTCCTGTTTGACAAAGAATTAACAAAAGGGAAAACTTAAAAAAAGTTAAAATTAAAACTAGTGGAGTCCTTGAGCTAACTTAGGCAATTGGTTGTTTTCTTCCTTTTTACGAATGTCTGAGGGCAACATTTCTTTTTTACTCTCTTATTCAAACCAATCCCATGTGAAACAGTTGGGTTGAATTCAAATAATCGTGGAGCAGATTTGGTTATAGCCATCAAAAAGGTTTCACCAATTGAACAGCGGTTACGAATCGCGTTATTATTGCATTAAACGTTTTATTTTCCAACTCATTTCATGCCACATAGTTATTACCGAATCTGATCGCAATTTACTGCTAGAAAATGACTTCCACTGAGATTGTTAAATTAGCAGAAAAAGTCGGCAAACACTTCAACTCTAAGAATGTACATCAACTCGATTTTCTCTGGAACTTCTATTGATCATACGATGATAGGACGAGATAGATGGGACAATTTGAATGGGTGTCTTCCACGAGTCACGAGCGTCACGCGTGTTTTTTAGACAGATCGCTTAGCTGCCTCGGCTGGCAGCTAAAACAGGACAGAACTTTAAATAACGGCTGTAGCTAAGGGAGTAGGTTTTCTTTGACTTTGTAATTGAAATAATGGCATTTATGTTTTTCGTACATTTTTGCTTTCAAGGAATATTTGGACTTTTCTCGAAGAAAATCATTTCTGTGATTTCGATCAGGAGAGACGAATGCAAGTGTAAGTTGAGACTTATTTCGTTGTGAACGGAAAAAGGCGGTACAATTTTATTCGGTTTATAAAAGGAGATTCTTATTTCCCACTCATCTAGCACAGACGCTTTTTCGCCTGTATGCTCGCTCTTGTCACTCGCTTTAGCTGAAGTCGCAAAGTTCTTTACTTGAACTGATTCTCAGCTTTAAGTTGAAGACTCTTTGAATGAATACAATTCATATCGACCCTTGAAAATTGAAATTTTAAAGTAGATGAAATGTTTCCTTTTTTTGGCATTCTGTCACCGTGTTTTGTCCTGCTGAAAGTTATATTAAGATTCGAAAAAACCGTTCCTCTCACACTTCATAGTGGTTGGCAGTGACCTGGTGAGCAGGTTGACTTCGACTTCGAGGAAGTGGGTTTTTCTTGCTTGAATTGTTTTGGCAATTAATTCTGAAAACTATCACAGTCGCGCAAAACTTTCAATTGCAATTTCTATTTCTGTACTTCATTGCAGCGTTATACGAGAGCAGTCAAACTTTGAAAGGAGGGTGTCAAAGGGTTTACACCTGACGCGTGATTAAGGCCAAAATTAATATGTGACGCGTGAATTTTACAGAAAAGCGATCGTGATTCGTGAATTTATGATCCAGTGTGAGATGTGATTTGCCTCCTGAAATATAAGTCACCCGTGAATTTCTTCTTTCATCTCGTGAAATCCTCAAGATTTTCCAGAAATGTTTTACACAAGGCGAGAGATTTGAAGTTTTGCCTTTCATATACGTGACACGTGAATTCTTCTAAAAATTCTTGCATGAAATCCTTTCAGGATCATGAGTCTCACTCAGAAACTCACTCTGCCCTGAATTTCACTGTTTTTTGACTCGGAATTAAGGCAAATCAATAATTTTTAATCAATCCGGAGATATCCATCTACGCGACGTAGATCAGTTTCGTTGCGTGGAAGACAAATTTGATGGACATAAATTCAACAAAATAAAAATTCCATTCTACAATAAATATATGTTATTTGCCGGCTGGGAGGTCCGTCTGCCCTGAATTTCACTGTTTTTTGACTCGGAATTAAGGGTGAAGAAAACTGATGGATTCCGAGGTCTTGAAAATACTGTTATTTGCCGTATGGTGAAAAATTGATTCCGAGGCCGTAGGCCGAGGGCAGCGTTTTCAAGACCTCGGTCACAGTTTTTCACCATACGGACCGACCCTTAGCCGGTAAATAACATATTTATTGTTTTTAAACTTGACGAAATTCTTTCTGAAAGAACCCGAATGATTTAGGGCTGTAAATACGGCAAGATCTTCCATAAACTGAACAATTTTTGAGCGAGTAAATGGTAGTTAAAGTAGAGGTGATGCAAATTAAAGAGAGATGCCTCAGCGAAACATTTTCATTTCCGTAGCGATAAAGGTGATTTAAAAGGCTTCCAAACAAACTTTGAAACATTATTTTTACAAGTATCTGTCACAATTTGACACCTGTCAATTAGAGAGCGCGTAAGAAAAAAAAATGCGCAAGAACATTTGAAAAACAACGGAACTAGTTTGGCAAGGACTGTCACGACAATGTTTTCTTCAAAATCAGTCAATGATCTAACGGAAAGTATTATTCACTCTCATCGACGATTCATTCATGTACGAAGATTTACCTCTGTTCATTAAGTAAACGGCGAGGAAAGTAATTGTGAGTAAATTCAATTTTTTATTTTGAAGTTGTGAGAGTTTGCTCGTTTGTTTGCTGCAATGGCGTGTGTAAATCTGGTCTTTTCTTCACAAAAACTAAATTCGAACGGCACACTCCAACGAGACACAAGGGAATTTAATGCGACCTTTTCTCAAAACATCAGTCCTTCAGTTTCTCTTGTGCAATTTACGGTACAAATGTCCAAATCGAACGGAACTGGAAAGACTCACCGGGAGCGTATATTTGTCGTAAAACTTAAATTAAAACTTCGCTCGCTCTTTCACTACGAACAAATTGCTCGAGAAAATTCAGATATTAAATGACTGAAAGTTCCATCGTTCAGTTTAACTGTAACCAAATACCTTACGTTTTAACTTTCTGGGTACTTTTTGTGAACGATTAAAATTAATTGCAGACGGTTTTTAGGCCGCTTGTCAACCAACGTAATGACAATATTGTTTATACAAATTCATTCTGAAACCATTATTTTTCTGTCAACCAAAGTGATTTGAGAGAGAGAAAAGAGAGGATTCATAAGTTATTTATCGGCTTGAGGTAGTGACCGACGTGTTTGTTTAAAAATACTGCCCAGCCGGAAAACGAGATGTATTTATGAAAAATGACAACGAAACTTGGGACGCACCCGGCGACTTACGAAAGTGTTACCGTGGCCCGTGGGCCGAGATAGGAAAATACTGACCGGGTAAAGAACCAATCAGATTGCAGGATTCGTTACCGTGCCCTCTAAAAAAACAATAAAACGAAGTATGAAACCATTCAACTGTGTCCGGATGTAAATATTTGTGCCGATATTTCTAACTGTGTATCCCATGCAGATTACGGTTTGTCAGTTTTAGAAACTTATTTCATGAATTTGAGATGTACGAAATTGGAACATATAACTGTTGTCAATGACTAGTATTATCCACGAGTAGCGATGCATTAAATAAACGAACGAGAGAGCGAGTGCAGCGAGCGATTGAGTTTTTTGATGCATTGCACCGTGTGAATAAAAATCACTCAAGTACTTTCCATGTAAGATGTTTTTATTCACACATATAAACTGAAATTTACACTTTAAAGTGGAAAGCGAACGACTGTGAAAACATAACGTTCGTACAACCGGAACGATAGTACTTTACACTGTGAATCTCTGTATGTATGAAATAAAATCTTTTCATTTCATTCAATTACATTCTCGTTACTTCAACAACTTATACCAAGTTCTCCAAATTTTTTGTTCGTTAAAATAAGAAGATCAATTTTATTCATGGAAAATGAAATTAAGAAGTAATCAAAATATAGAAATTTTAAAAAAAGGGGAACAGCTCACCTTTGAACACAGACCCTGCCGACAGATTCTGATGGTGTGACTAATGAAAAACGAAAGTAAAAAAAATGAAATTAAACTTTCCCAGAAAAACAAACGTATATACAAGTAGCTACCAACCGTGTGAGTAAAATGTTGTTACACCAACAAAAAATCACCAAAATGAAATAAAGAAAACCTGAGATGGAAGAATAATTGTCTCCTAGGTTGCCCATAAGACTAATGAAATAACATATGGCATCTTCTTATTTTCCATCATCACAGAAGTGATGAACATGTAACTTCTCCTTACAATATCAATATACCGTACAGCAATCAAGTGGTGAGAGTAAACAGACTTATCATTCACAAGTATTTATCTCTATCATTATTAAGTTGCAATCGTAAACATTTTAGTGCGCTATATTTCTGAAATAAATAAATAGCCGCTCACCTTTGAAGAAGAAAAGATCTCTTGATAGGTAGGAGACCAAAATCACGGAATTGATTTTAAATTTTCTCTGCAAAGTAACGAAGAATACAAAGAGCTAGTGAAAGATCGAATATGAAAATTATCGGTAAAGATTAATCATTGTAAAAACCTAAGAAGGATGGAACTTGCATTACAGTTTGCCTATAAGATATCTAAAAAAAATTGGAGCCTGCATATCATTGATAAGAGTTTGGTGGTTAAGATTTCCCTTTAAGCGATTTCTTAAACGTTCAAGTTACAGAAGTGAGGAACTTATCGCTTCTCTTTCCAAAATCAACACGTTACTCAGTGAACAAGCTAGTGGCGAGACCACTTATCAGCTGAGGGTGTTTTCGTAAAACAACACTAAATTCTTCCTACTGACGAACAAGGTAACGTGAAGGAGCTATATGGAAGAATTGCTAATACGATTATAAATTCAAAGGGTCAAGGTGAAGCCGAATATTTCACAATCAAGTCAAAAATATATCTGAATTTGGTAGGTCTCCACAAATATTATCAGACTGAAATTTCTCAAATTTAATTTATACCCGAAATATATATTTCTCTTGAAAAGGCGAGAAAATAATAATTACAAGCGAATTTAGTTCTTCAGGTGCTAACCTTTTTAAAAGTAAACACGGGTTATATTGTTTGAGAGATGAGACCGAAAGCCGCAAGAAACAAAGATAACTGCAAGCAGCTCGTGTAAGAACAAAGTGCTGAGTTTGATAGGTTAAAAAAGATCACTAAAATGTCTGCAACGAGATTTTAAACCGTAGTTGATAGTATCTTGGTCTGAGA